GTGTGTTTGTGTGTTTGTGTGTTTGTGTGTTGGTGTGGAGTAAAGAGGCCATGATCTGCTCCAGTGGCACCGATGCTAAAAGTGTTGATCTTCACCAACATCTTAGACTCTGCTGTAGCCAGAAGGTGTGCGTGTGTGTACTGTGTTAGTGTGTGTGTGTGTGTGTGTGTGTGTGTGACTCTGACCTTTACGTTACCTCAGGCACCACTAAAGCGCACTGACAGGAGCCGGCCAGCATTGGCAGCTACTCAGCATATGTTTGAGATTGAAAAAAAAAAAAAACATGCCCTAAAGACAAGGCACGAACAAATAACGCCGTCGCTGCGGTGCCTCCTACAGACGGGTGTGTTGTTGTGCAGGTGTGTATTGATGTGCAGATAAATGCATTTTTTATGAGCAATAGCTCTTTGCATGGCTTTAATGGAGGCCCCGCATGAATATGTATAAACACATGCCTGGACACAGATTTTATGGGTGTGTGTGTGTGTGAGTGTGTGTGTGTGAGCACTGCAGTTTCCTCTAGCCTTATCTGAGCTAATAGAAGTGAACATTTGCCACACCTCTAACATTTAAGGCAGCAGCGTGAAGATCACTGGCTAAAAACAGTGTGTGTGTGTGTGTGAGTGTGTGTGTGAGTGTATACGTGACAGTGTGTTTCCTTAAAGGTCAAACTGGCAGCAATGAAGCGATGAACACAAACACACTGCTAGTCACAGATCTCACCATTTTACACATCTGTGAGAGTCGTAATTTGGACTTTTTTTCTTTTTTCTTTTTTCACCTCAGGACACAGAGATTAAAGCCGGTCTTCTCACCTTTCATATAGAACTATGACTAAATATACATAAACATGAAGCCCCCAGGGCTGTTAGGGACAAGAGCGTAGGCTGAAATGATAGACATGTATCCAAACAGGCTGAGTACTGTAGAAACCACCGTGCTTTATAACTGGTTTATTTTGTTTCTTTTAAGCAAACTAAAAATGTTTTTTATGTCTCAGTGAGGTGTGATTTTCCTGACAATGTTTGTTTTTGTTGTTTTCAGAGAAAATTAAAATCTAATCCTATTCGCCAATGGTAAAAAGAATCATCCAGAGTTGAATCTGTTCGCCCTAAATTTAAATTTTGGAGATAAAGATATTGTTGCCTTCACGGCAACAATATGCATATTCAGCTGGATTATATCAGACAATAATTTACCCAGATTACAAAAATTCAGCCCACTGTAAAGTGGTTCGGTAATGTAGCGGTTACCTACGGCTGCCTTACATGCAGACGTTTCTGGGTTCGAGCCCCAGTGGAACCATATATTTAATCCTCCTCTTGACAGTAGCTATGGCTAAAACGCATCCGCTAAATGCACAAATGTAAACGTAAATAAATCCCCTTCATGCACATGACTGTCCTGCCTGCAGTCCATATCTGTCAGACGCATCATGACGAGAGCAAACACAGCAACCCCTCCTGCCTGCAGTCCATATCTGTCAGACACATCATGACGAGAGCAAACAGACCATAAAAATGTAACTCTCGCTCTAGTAAAGCAACAACTTCCACTTGTAAAACTGCAACAATTATTATAATCAGTTCCCAAACAATTAAAAACCTCAATTAAACAATGGTACCACCAAACGCCTCATTACAGTCAAAGGAACGGCTGTGCAGCATATCTGCGGTCTGCGCCGTGTGCTGAACCCATCACAACAGCTAATTATGGGTTTGTAATATATGCAATAATAAACACCTCAGGCTGTAATTATCCCTGATGTACGTACTCTGTGTATGATGTGGTTTGCAGCCACAACAACGTGCAGATTAATGAGCAGACTAATTATTCCTATTAGTCAGTGCTGCGGCTGCTGCATCGTCAGCCTCCCTTCACACGCCGTTAACGTCACGGAGCTCAGGCTCCACTCTGACAGGGCGCATATGCAGACAAACGGAGGAAGAAAAAAAAAACAATTTTTTTAAACTAATAGAAAATTAAATGTCAAATGTTTTCATGTACTTTTAAAAACAATAATATTTCATCCGTTAGAATTTGGCCATGGCTTTCAGCTGACTCCGTCACCCTGCACAAGTGCTTGATGGGTAAAAAGGTCAGTGCTGTCAGATCCGAGGCGGCACAGACTGGTGGTGCCCCGCTGACATACACCACACATATGCTGCTGCGCGCCACACACACACTCTGTGTCCATTTGCATCAGCACCTGGACGTGTGACAGGGGCTACACGTGTTCATGTGAACGCCGTTCCAGTCTTGTCTGTACGCCCGCTCTTCAATCACGCTAGTGCGGCGGGACAGTGAGAGACAGGGAGGGAGAAGGACGGACGGGGACGTCAGGGAGACGAGGGTCAGACGTTAATGAAAGAAGCAATCTCTGCTGTCATGTTAGATCTAAGGCCCGGCTCACGCCGTCCCGCCACTGTGTCTGTGTGTGTGTGTGTGTCAGTGAAATCACTGCTGTCATGTCTGATCCTGTGGTCTGGTGTCGGCCGTCCAGTCTGAGGGCCCGTTAGCAGGCGGCTCTTTCTGGTCACTTCACATCGGTGTGAGGGACGTGTGTGTGTGTGTGTGTGTGTGTGTACAGACTGGTTAATGAACATGTGTGTGTGGCTGTAGAGCATGCATGGAATGTAAATGCATATAGGGCAGGCACACACACACAGAGAGAGAGAGAGAGAGAGAGAGAGAGGGAGAGAGAGACTATTGTTTATAACCTAGAAACCTCTGTTTATATTATACCAAACACATGATGAGGTCATTTGTATTTGCAATATACTGATATTTCCAACAATTTGTTTGAGGAAATCAACTGTCAACATACCCTGATTGCACTGCAGTTTGAATTTAATAGGTTAAATTTACAGAAAGAAGATTTTTAGGCAGTGCTTTTGGTTTCTTAAAACACTTAAATATCATTGCATCAGTGCACAGTTCCCAACAGTTTGAATTTAATAGGTTAAATTTACGGAAAGAAGATTTTTGTGCTTTTGGTTTCTTAACATGCTTAAAATATCATTGCAAGTACTGTGCACAGTTCCCACGTGCAGATTTATGCCCAGTATTTGATTTCCTACTAGCAAAATTAGGAATTTACCTTTAGAAAATGTATATAAAACATTCTCTAGCAACAGAAAAAAATACAAAAATACTATTTATTGGAGAAATTCTGGAAATGACTGGAAATGAACTCTCTACCCAGCTTTACACACACACACACACACACACACACACGTGCACCATGTGCAAACCAAGCACTTTAACATGTGTTCAGCCCATTAGAGTCCACCATTAATTAGGCCAGAATAATGCTTTGGTTCAAGTGGGTGCTTTCTTTCCTAGTTCACTGACCATTAGGTGGCTCATCAATCGAATAAAAAATGAGGCTGGGGGATATTTGCCTGCACTTGGACTGACAGACTCCCAGGGCTTTGGCAGGGGTCCAGAGAGCATCATCATCACATGGGCTGTGACCGTGTTTTATCTGCGTTTATTCGACTTCTATCATTTCTGTCCTTTTGGATCAACACCGCAGCTGCTCTCCTCACACCCTCCCCTGTCCTCCACGCCCTCGGACGCACATTTATCTACGCGCTTTACATTTGGCAGCGCAGCTCATAATGCACTCTCATGTGTGGGTTCTAATAAGGTCATGTCAGAGCTCATTCATCCGGGCGGACCCCCGACTAAGTCTCTTTCTCAACATTCTTCTTGGCTCCTTCTCTGCCTCTTGCTCTCCAGCTCTGCTGCGCAAAGACAGACGACCTGGACGTGTGCAGAGAGGGTGAGGCAGGAAAGTTTTAGCACATGTGTAATGACAAACTAGGCCAGAGACGCATCCATGCTTAAACACTTACAGTTAAGTCCCTAACTAACAGCCCTACAGCCCCTCCTCTCGTCTGCACACACGCTGCCGTAGCTGCTATGCTAACCCCCCCCCCGGCCATGAATGACAATACGCTGTCTGTCACTCTGCAGCCATAAGCACCCATGCGATTACTCAGCCTCATGTTCCTCTCCACAGGCTTGGGATGACTGTCATATTGCACAATTACACAGCGTGACTTCCACGCCGTCTTTACACCTCTTACCTCCTGCACACACGCTGGACGGCTCCGCTGCCAGAATCTCAATGCAGGACTTCCTAATGATCTGAGGAGGAGACGCGGTCAGACGATTTAGAAACAAAATAGCGTCAGGATTTACGACATGTGGTGTGAAGGTGTCATACTGAGTCGATGATTCCCCTCAGGGCCTGGAAGCCTCCCCACACAGGAAACACATGGTCCACTGTAACTGCAATAGTTGCCAGCTAAAAAAAAAACATACACTGAAAATTATATACTTGCATTTTAAATGATTCGTTACATTGTTTTTAATTTTCTGTAGCTCCGCACCTGGGTCTGGTTGAAGTCTTTGACCCCAACACAGTAAACGGTCGCACCCATGGATCTGGCCCTCTGAGCCTGCAAGAACTAATGATGTCATCCAAGAAAAGTTTGGGTTTGACAAATATATTGAATTATAAAAGAGATCCATTTTTTGTCAGTGACCTAGTTACAAGAGAACTGGTGAAGATCAGAAACATGGATCTTTAGTTATTCAATTATTAGTTGAGACCATTTGAAAAGCATTATTTGGGATTTATAAAAGACATAGAAGCTTTAACACAGTTGTTCTAGATTCTTAACAACAAAATATAAGTATTTAGAAACGTTTACAACACGATAATACAAAAATATTTTAGATTCAAGATGCTTGTCAAATATGAATTTTATATTGCTTTTCTGTTTTGATCTAAGCAAATAAAAATAACAAAGACGCATATCTTTAAAAAAAACAAGGAATATATATATATATAATTTATTTATTATTTTTTTAAGAAAAATGGCTATTCCACACATTGTGGCCCAACATAGGGTCCGAAGAACTTGGTCTAGTCCATGAAAAGGACAGTAAGGGGCCGGGCCGGACCACCCACCTCTCTCTGTGCTGTGTCAAACTGCCACTCGTTGAGCTCTCCATCAGTCAGAGCAATGATGACACTGGCAGTCCCTGAAAAACACAACAATATTTTATTTCTTTCATTAAAACTTTACAAATGCATGCAAACACGATGTGCTGATTACACCGCGCTCACCGTGTCGCTCTTGATGAATCTGAGCGTTAGCCTGTGGTTGAAACAACAGTGAATTAGTCAGGATTCATATCACATAACTACAAGCTGATGTTGTTGTAAAGCCGACCCACACATTTAACTTTGGTTTGACCTTGTATGAGTACAAACACATGAGCTTGTTGTTACTTGGAGCCTACGATTCGACAGAAACGCCATTTCTCAGCTTCAGAAGAACAAGTCGATCACATGTTGTCACTGCTTTTGGTATTTAGAACAACATTTAGGGCAACAGAAAAAAGAAATCAGGCCGTAGCTGCGTGCTTTCTCATGACTGAGCCACTCCTCATACCTTCCTAATTCATCCTAGTCCCTGCTGCAGGAGTCAAATACTCAAATACACGGTGCGTGTTTTTCATTCTTAAAGCTGAGACAGTGTGAGTCTCCTGTTGCTGTCTCTGCAGATGCAGATGCTGAGCAGTTCAAAACCACGCCTCACCATTTCCAGGCCTAAATTCATATACGTGTCCCCCCCGGGGACGACCGTCTTCAGGGCCAACAGGCCTCCAGTAATGGCTTCCCTGTGGAGGAAACAGAGGAGGAGAAAATAAACAGGGAGGAAACGACTACGAGGAGAGAAGGAGATAAAGAAAAGTCCTCAGCAGATGATGAGATGAGATAAGACCAGGGTGTGGAACCGTGTTAGCATGTTAGCATGTTAGCTGTCTGTGGTTGCGTGCAGTACTGTGTGCAGGCAGATTAAGAATGGAATTTTTTGGGACTGAGTGCTGGCTGCTGTGTTAACCTGTTCTCTGTCAGCTTCAGGATGATCTTTCCATGTGTGGAGAAGACTATAAAAGACATCCTCAGCATCGGGCTGCCAAACAAAGACAAAATTATTATACGTCACTGCTGACAGAAAACATCAGTAAATAAACCAGCGTGTACCTGATAAACTTCTCTGCCAACTGCTGCACAAAAGTATAGATTTCCAGCCAGTGATGCTTCACACTCCCAGACCTGGAAAACAGAAAAAAAAAAAATAGAAATCATGTGATGGCATGAGGTCATCACCCTTAAACAGAACAATAACACCAGTGGTATGCAGCTAAGAGCTGGACTCACATTGTAGAGCAGAAAAATGAATGGTTTTTCCAAAACAAAAACCAAAAAGAGAATATTATTTATTAAACACAGATTTGGTTTAATTTATATTTTACTAGTTATTTTGTAGTTCTGTCATTGTAGATTATATATCTGACTGTACTACTATAAACATGAAACAGCTTTTTTTTTTGTTTTTATTAAATCTTGGACCAAATCAAATCAAATCAAATTTGTTGTTTGTTTATCTTATTTCACAGCCATCGGCTTCAGACTCTCTACATAAAACAACTCTGGTGGTCGTCTGTACTGACAGTAAATCCGATCACTAAGATGAGGGGTCCAGCCCCATGGTCTTGCAGTCTACATGCTGATGTGTCCTTGGACAAGACAACTACGATGGCAGCATGGAAATAAACTTCCAGCATTTTGTGATGGAAGAAGTTGTTGCTTTTACAAAGATTTTACTCTCACTAGAAAAGTGTCACCTACACTCAGTCCCAACTGTTCTCCATTTCCAGGAACTACTTATTTACTTCACATCTCTAGACATTCCTTGGGAGACTTGTGGAAACCTGGCCGTGCCCCGTCTTGTGCCACTACTCTGTACAGTAACCTGTCACCAGTGAGTCCACTTCCTGTCTCCGTGATGAAGCCCAGTCCCAAGGGTCTGATAATGGTGGCTAATTGTTGCAGGACCAGAGGGTGGAGGTTAGACAGGGACAGATGTAGCAGTCTGCCTGTAGCAGGGACCGTGGAGCCGGCAGCTGGCCCCTGTGCGTGTGTGTGTGTGTGTGTGTGTGTGTGTGTGTGAAGGGGAACAGATGGTCCCAGTGAGCACAGCCAGTCTAACAACAGGTTGGGGGTCCAGGCAGTGTAAAAGGCTGTGACATGGACAACAGAGGGATGCCAGAGCAACACTCAGCGGGGGGTAAATGTGAGTGCGTCTTTTTGAGGAGGGCAACATCAAACAACTTGTTGACCCAACTCTGCGAGGCTGAGGGCTGGTGAAAGTGTGTGTCGCAGGGTCGTAAAGCGTGTGAGAGTGTGACCTGGCTGCTGCTTCGTGACCCCCCGTTTAAACAGTCACATTCTTGGCCCCCAATGGTTGTTTGAAGGAGTGGAACGTTTACAGCCCTAACAGACACATGTTCTATAGTACTCTAGTGAACAAATTAGTTTGAAAAAAACATTGAAGTCCTAAACTTGGACCTGGACAAGCGACCCATGGTTCACATCTGGCCCGCGGGCCACCTGTTTGTGAAGCACAAGCTGTTCACAAACATGTGAACGGAGTCTGTTTTTTCTTTTCTTTACTGTGTGTTTTGGTTTGGTCAGCATGTGTTTATGGGATGTCGTCTCCATGCCAACGATGAGCTGATAGGCTGTTTGCGAGAACAGTACTTTTACTTTGAAGTAAAAGTACGTTCAGTACTTTGTCAGCAGTAGGAGATCGAATTCTTGAGTTTTCTTTTTATTTAAATAGTCAACAATAATGTCATTTTAGACAATTATGATCTTATTTAGTAGAAAAATATGAATGTCTTTTTTATTGTGTTCAATCAAACGTGGTTTCTTTCTTCTCAGTACTGCCCGACGATTATTCTAGTTTAAGCAAACCTGATTTCACCCTCAGCCTGCCATTATCCAAACGCTCGACTCAGCCATTTATTCTGACCTCACCTGTGCTGCTACGTGTAGTAAACGTGAAGGTACAAGCGTTTTCTTTCACTTGCAGTATTTACCCTGTGAAGAACTTGGATCTGAGAAAAATACATCTCAGTTTCTCTCTAATCCAGCCAGAAAAGACAACACCTATTATTCTATTTGTGGGCAAACCAGATAGAGAGGAAAAGGCCGCCTGGTATGTGGAGTGGAGAATGTGGGGAGCTGTTTTTGAGGATTCTAAGTTTTTAAAGTCACTTTTCTGTCTTCATCTTCATGGGAGACAGAGATGCTTCCAGTGGAGCGCACACACTCACTACCCAGCATGCCTTTCCTCTGGACATCAAAGCAAGAGCCAAGCATGTGTTGGCCAATGGTGATGATGTAAAGACCAGGATAAACACTCGAAAATATCCCTGAGGTTTTTTTTAAGTCTCTTTTTCTCAGACTAAAATTGTGCACAGAACCTGCACTGCAGCAGACATGTTGGTGCCGTGTCTGAGATACTGTAGATCAGCAACTTCCTGCAGGCCTGCTGAAGCATGCTGGTCCATACAGTCAAAACAAAACACTGGGAAAACCAGAGGTTTAACCATGCATGACCTCACTGGCTTCTCAGGCTTGAAGCAAAAACTAAAATGTTTCCAACAGATGCTGTTATTCATATGTAAAAAGGAAAAATCATCAGATGTAAAAATGTCACAGGTACTCAGCCTGGGACAACCAAGGACAAAGGCTTCTGCTCACTAATACTAAACACAGACACAGTTGTGTTTAATGTCTTAACAATAACTTTTCCAACCAGCATGTACATATACTGTACATGCTGGTCTCCTAGTTATTAATTTAAATCAAAACCAAACCAACAGATCCTTCTCCTCTGCTTCGTGTTTGGACTCGTGCAGTTGTTCTGCCTCGTTCGTCCACGTACATTATCTCCAGTTACAGTTCAAAACAGAGATACGACAAAAATGTCAATTATCGTGTCTGAGCAGACACAAACAGCGGATGCAGCAGAAAGATGGCTCGGAGATAATTAGCGGTGCGGTTGTGCTAACTCAGCTGTAAGAGTCGTCAAAGCCACAAACGTGGATGAGAAAATGAGCCCAAAGCATAAAACTGTAGTGAAGCATGATTGAAAAATCCAAATTCTTCCACAGTGAGTTACTATGATGTATAATGAGCTCCAGATGATAGAAAATCTGTATTAAATGTGGGAATTCTACAAGAAAGAAACCATCACACGGTCTCGGAGTTGTTGTTGGGTTAGGAACCGTACTTTTTGGAACGTTGAAATATTTGAATTTTTAAAACTGGGTCAGGATCAAACAACTCAGAAAAAAAAATGTCTGGGCCCAAAGGCTTGGTTGTATTACAGCAGGGCTGCACCTTTCTGGCTCTGGAGCTACTATTCAATGACAGACTAACAGGATCTACCAAGACATTAAATATATATGTACTCATATGAACTGAACAGCTAATGCATGTAGCTCTATGGCTCAATATGATTCAGTTCTTGAAGTATAAAGATAGATAGATAGATAGGGATGAAAGTATGAAATAAAAGTATATATATATATATATATATATATATACACCTTTGTTACTTGTTGGATCACTTTCATTCCTAAGACATTTAGCTGGAATTCTATCCTTCAGTGACAGAGTCAGATCACGGTCGACTGAAGGATGGAGGGCGGAACACTGAACTGAATCACCGGTGAACACTGCTCCACTGCTCCACTGCTGGACAGCTGCGTCCGCAAAGGCGTCATCAGCCTGAACCCCTATCCATCCTGCTCGCCCTGCCCACATCCCGTGGGTAAACCTTCAGCCTCACCGCAGTCGACCGGACGGAGGGAAGGAGCATGTCCTAATGTCCAAACTATTATCTTAAACAGTGGCGATCAAGTGACGCCGAATCAGTGTTAAATCACCCCCAAACTCATGCATTTGTTGTCTGACTGTAGAATGTCTTAGAAAAAAACATCATCAACAACAAAGTCTGGGCAGATATTTTCATCAACCAAAACTCCGGATAACTTTTCTTCTTCGTGCTGTCAGACCAAAACACCGACGCGCTCGGAGTTTTCCAAACATCATCTTGGTCGCATGGCAATGAGCAGCGACGAGAACCTAACAAAGCCATAAATAACGCGGGACACTCACTTGTCCAGGACAAAGTAAAGGTCGAACGCTCCCTGACAGGACCTCTCCTCCTCCTGCTGCTCCTCCGCCTCCTGTTGCTCGCCTTTCACCGAGGCATGGAGAAGGAAAATTCCCAGCAAAGCCACTAAGGCGAGGAGCATGCGAGTCTGCGTCCTCGCCATCTTTCCTGTCCTCGCTGAAAGAGTCCTCCAACACTGTTGACAACTACACGTCTTCACATTGTCTCTCGGTCTTCAGATGCCGAGTCCACTTCGTGCGTCAAACGCTTTGTTCCACGTTGTTCCGTCCGCCCGTCTGCTTTCTTTAGCGCATTCTGCGCACAGACGTCCTGCTCAGATAGCGCCGGCCTCTCCAAGTCTGAGAGGGGGAGAAAAAAACTGCACCGAGGCAGGGCAGGGTGGAGGAGAGGAGCGACACCCGAGGAGAGACACACAACTCCACTTTTCCACAGAAAGAAAAAAAAAAGAAAGAACTGCTCCACAAATCATCGGTTAATCGCTGTGTGGGTGGATTAAATGTAAAATAACAACTTTCAGGCCAAATATACATGTAAGACTGGAATGTTCTTATGTATAACTAAATATATTGTTTGATATGAGCGCAGTTTCACTACTCTAGTAGTACACACTGTACTTTGATTGTAAACAATCAGAATTGTTAAAAAAAAGTTCTAAAAAAATTGAAAAAGTAAATTTGAACAAAAAAACCTAAGACCACAAACAGTCTATTCAAGTGCCATAACTGGCCCCGTGCCAGAGCTTGATTATACTTCATATGAGGTGAATGAATATTGTACATTTCCAAAATGTCTATTATTATACTGCCAGCTATATCTACTGACTTTAATATTTTGCTGAGAGCAAAGAAGAATTAAATTAGAGAGATAGAGATGAAAGTATGAAATAAAAGTATATATATATATATATATATATATATACACCTTTGTTACTTGTTGGATCACTTTCATTCCTAAGACATTTAGCTGGAATTCTATCCTTCAGTGACAGAGTCAGATCACGGTCGACTGAAGGATGGAGGGCGGAACACTGAACTGAATCACCGGTGAACACTGCTCCACTGCTCCACTGCTGGACAGCTGCGTCCGCAAAGGCGTCATCAGCCTGAAACCCTATCCATCCTGCTCGCCCTGCCCACATCCCGTGGGTAAACCTTCAGCCTCACCGCAGTCGACCGGACGGAGGGAAGGAGCATGTCCTAATGTCCAAACTATTATCTTAAACAGTGGCGATCAAGTGACGCCGAATCAGTGTTAAATCACCCCCAAACTCATGCATTTGTTGTCTGACTGTAGAATGTCTTAGAAAAAAACATCATCAACAACAAAGTCTGGGCAGATATTTTCATCAACCAAAACTCCGGATAACTTTTCTTCTTCGTGCTGTCAGACCAAAACACCGACGCGCTCGGAGTTTTCCAAACATCATCTTGGTCGCATGGCAATGAGCAGCGACGAGAACCTAACAAAGCCATAAATAACGCGGGACACTCACTTGTCCAGGACAAAGTAAAGGTCGAACGCTCCCTGACAGGACCTCTCCTCCTCCTGCTGCTCCTCCGCCTCCTGTTGCTCGCCTTTCACCGAGGCATGGAGAAGGAAAATTCCCAGCAAAGCCACTAAGGCGAGGAGCATGCGAGTCTGCGTCCTCGCCATCTTTCCTGTCCTCGCTGAAAGAGTCCTCCAACACTGTTGACAACTACACGTCTTCACATTGTCTCTCGGTCTTCAGATGCCGAGTCCACTTCGTGCGTCAAACGCTTTGTTCCACGTTGTTCCGTCCGCCCGTCTGCTTTCTTTAGCGCATTCTGCGCACAGACGTCCTGCTCAGATAGCGCCGGCCTCTCCAAGTCTGAGAGGGGGAGAAAAAAACTGCACCGAGGCAGGGCAGGGTGGAGGAGAGGAGCGACACCCGAGGAGAGACACACAACTCCACTTTTCCACAGAAAGAAAAAAAAAAGAAAGAACTGCTCCACAAATCATCGGTTAATCGCTGTGTGGGTGGATTAAATGTAAAATAACAACTTTCAGGCCAAATATACATGTAAGACTGGAATGTGCTTATGTATAACTAAATATATTGTTTGATATGAGCGCAGTTTCACTACTCTAGTAGTACACACTGTACTTTGATTGTAAACAATCAGAATTGTTAAAAAAAATGGAAAAAGTTCCTGGAATTGAAAAAGTAAATTTGAACAAAAAAACCTAAGACCACAAACAGTCTATTCAAGTGCCATAACTGGCCCCGTGCCAGAGCTTGATTATACTTCATATGAGGTGAATGAATATTGTACATTTCCAAAATGTCTATTATTATACTGCCAGCTATATCTACTGACTTTAATATTTTGCTGAGAGCAAAGAAGAATTAAATAAAAGTGTTTCCCCAAATTATTTTTGGAACTTAATTACACATTTCAACTGGAAAACTTTGAAATACATAAAAAGAGCGCCCCATAGAGTCCAATGGTCAAATGTTCAAAGTCTTTGAATCATTGTAATTTTTTTCCCTCCAGTCTACAGTCGGCTAATTACTTCGCTTGACCACCTGGACGTTGACCATTTTCCATAGTTGCCCCCTAAACCAGCGGGGCATTTAACCAAACCCAGTTTTTGATTCAGAATAATCCATTAAATGCTCATTAGACAGAATCATTTACTTAATGAATAATGCATTTGCCTGATGGCAACCCCCCGACCAGCACAGAGCAGCACGGAGCAGACACGGCCTGCATTAGTGGCCAATTTTTAAATCTCCACTCTCCCCACGACGGCCACATTACTTTCAAACAGCTGTTTCCAGAAATGAGATCAAAACGGCACAGAACGATCTGTACGACTGATCCGTTTTATTATCTTAAATACTTGAAAACTACTGAATGTCTCGGTCAGTACTCTGAACCTGAGGTTTGACATTTAAAGTAATCGAAGCTCTTTATCGAAAAAAACTGTGATGTTAGAAAACTTTTCTTTATTTGGAGAAGGAAAGGAGAGCTGTGTAACCCAAAGAACACCGTCCTCATGGTAAAACACACAACAGTTTTCTTTACTGTGTGCAGTTGAAAAAATGTTATGGCGTGAAAGGAAATATGAACAAATCAGATTATGAAAAGGTTGGGAACAAAATCTACGAGGCTTTAGCGACAGAACTTCCACGTGGGTGCAGGTTCTGGTTCCTTCATGACAAAAAAAAAACCAAAGTACATTTGAAACAGGCAGAGAACCATCTTCAGAAGAGCCAACTTGGCTTGTCAATATGCTGTGAAGTGACTCAGTGTGTCAAACATACGGTCTGCAGACCAAAACTGGACTGCGAACACTTCATGTTCATGATGTTTTGTAAAACGAGAGTTCATTAAATAAGTAGATTTTCTAACACACATGGATGAAAAAAAAAAACAATCGGAAAAAGCATGGATTTATTGTTATTTATAGGTAATTGGTAATAAATAAAGATACTGGTCCAGCCCTGTTTACATTTAATCAGGTAGTTTGTGGTCCCTGAACCAAAATGAGTTTGATAGGCCTGGACTAAAACATTCTCCACCAGTGTATTTATGAGAAAAAAGAAAATGTCCGCATTGGATTTAAAAATTATAGACCTGGATGTTCCCACAGTTTTCAGAGTCATTAAGATGCTGTTGGAATTATTTATTAACGTTTCACCAAAGACTGTAAACAGGTCCATCTCGTACCCGTCACTGTATGGAGTTCAGACGCGGCGGTCTTTATGTCTACACCAACCAGCTGCGCCTGTTTGAATCACATTCAATTCCATTATTATGGCCGAATGATCCCTGTTCCCTGCATCCTGACGCCCACATCTCTCCGCGAGAGCTCTGTAAATCAGACAAGGACGCATTTGCCAGGGGACTAACAAAAAAAAAAATCAGGGCGTGTGAGCGCGCGCGCGCGTGGCCGCGCCCGTGTTTATATCTATGCGCAACGCTTCAGTGCGCTCTCTGAAGGGAATAAGTGGCAGCGACAGAGGAGAGAGGCGACAGTGTACGAAGGGAAGACTCCGGAACTGGTCACCAAGAAAACAGAGGACATCAGTTCTGAGCACCGCTGCACCATCAGCTGCACCATCAGCTGCAACTGGCTGCCCACACATCCACCTCCATGTCCGGCGGGTGAGTGCACAGCCACCTGGTCACAAGGATTGATTTGTTTTTCCTTTCTGTTGGATAATATTATTTTAAAGGAATTTGAAGCATATGTGGCGCTTCAAAAAATAATAATTAAAAGATAATAAAAAATCCAATTAATAAAAAAAACAGTCTACTTTTTTTTTCAATGGCCACCAGTGGTTCCGGTTCAACAACCAGTGATTCGATATAATGTTCATAAACCGTATTGAAGTTCTCCCTGCGCTCAGAGCAGGCAGTTGGTCTCCACGGCAGATGGGGAGACAAAAGGAGAAACCGAGTGAAAAACCGAGACAAAGGACGTTAGAAATCATTTTTGGCTCAACACCAACTGCGCCTTCTGCACAGATTAGAACCTGAATGTTTAATAGAGAGAAATCACCGCCGGGAAATATTATCACAAGAGCGATTCATCGTGGGATCGTAGCATGTGAATCCAAAACGCACATGTCACTGCTGTGATTTTTTTGGAACCAGAATAAATCATAATATTTTGTATTGGTTGATTTGGTTCTGGCTCTCTCAGTGTGATGTACTTCTCCCAGTGTTGGGAATACCGCTCTGATTCATGGAGTTTTGTTGCAGGTTGACGATGGATCACGCGTTCCTGCCCCGGTCCATCTGGACCGCTGACAGTAAATTCCTGCAGCATCCGGCGGATCTGTACAGCAGTGTGGTGGTTACTCGCAGCATCCCGGCAGGCACCTGCTTCGGTCCGTGTGTTCTCCAGAACACCTTCTACGACACCATCGCCTTCATAGCGCAGAAATCCTGCGACAGAAAATCCAAATCCTATGTTTTCAGGGTGAGTTCTGCAGTTTGTTTGCTGGATATTTGATTTTGTTTTTTAAAAAATATATAATTTAGACCTAAATACGCACATGTGTCTCACTCGTTGACCCTGTCCTGTCCACAGGTGGACCCTGAGGCCATGCGTAATTCCGCCCTGGTTCTGTCCTGGCTGCGGCTCGTCCAGGCGGCCCGCAACAGAGAGGAGCAGAACACGGAGGCTTTTCTAAAAGCGGGTCAGCTGTATGTGCGGGCCACCCGGGACATCCGCCAGGACGAGGAGCTGCTGGTGTGGTACGACCAGGAGCTGTCTCACCTACTGGGCTTCACGGACCTGAGAGGGTCGAGTGAAGGTGAGGAGGATGATGCTCCAGTCTGCTCCAGAGGCTTTAACATTTTGTTATTATAATTTTATACCAATTCAAGGTTTTTAGGGACAACATTATGAGAAAATGTAAAGCTGTGGATATTTGGTAAATTGGCATTGTTTTATTCACCTACAGACCTTTTCTAGTAAAAATATCAAAGACAAAATCATAAACCTGAACAACAGGATTTCACAGTATATCACATTCTTATATCAGTCCAGATTTTCCTTTTTCAAAAGACTCCCAGAACCTCCCAGAATCACAGTGTTCCTACGTCTGTGTTTTGTCTTCATTCTGTGAGCATAGATAACTTATCAGAGGAGTTTAGTCTGTCTTCTCTGACCAAAGGTGATGTTTTCAGTTCACAACATTTCTCTCCAGGTGTCTGTTTAACAGATGTGGATTTTTACTTTATCACAAACCAAACTCATAAAACATGGAACAGCTTTGTTCCAAACCTTCTCTTAAACACAATCGTAATGATGTGTGTTTTTGTTTGGTTTAAAATCACATCAGAAATACTTTAAAAACAGCAATAAAATATACTAGTGTTTTTTTTTTGTCTTCCAGAGTTCAGATGCAGCAGGTGTGACCAGGTCTTCACATATGAACATCCTTTCCTGGCCCACTGCCGCTTCCTGTGCACTCAGGTCAAGAGTGACCCCTGGAGCCGTGACCTTTACGCGCAGAAACATGTGGAAATTAAGAAGCAGCATCAAGTGACGGATTTCCACAACATCGCCAGAGATTTGGAACACAAAAAGCCCAGCTGTGACCAGGACGCGGAGATCTCTCCAAAGAGGAGGAGATGTGAGGAGCCACTTTATGTGAAGGGACGGAAATCCGTTCTAATAGAGAAGACAAATATTTCAAACGATGACAACATCACACCGACGACGGAGGGATTCGACCAGACAGCAGGGGATGGAGCTTCATCTGCGGAGAAACTGAGAACCAAAAGTGACGCTTCAGGATGTAAGAATGCTGATGAAGGAACCAAAGAGATGTCGACGAACGGCAGAGATGCCGTGCACTCCAGCGGCAGCAGTGCGTTCTCTCTGGTTCTGTCCAACAGCAGACAAGGCGAACAGAAAAGCGCCTTCTGTAAGCCCAGTAAAAGAACTTCTCCCTTAGACCCCCAGGCACATCTCAGCAGCGCTACAACAGCGCCCTCTAGTCGCATAGAGGAGATGACTGAAGCCTTTAACTCCAGGACTTTTATGGGATACAGCAACTTGGTGACATCCAGCGTCCTGGGCGGTGACCTGCAAACCGCGCCGTCCCCGCTTGCGTTGACCAGCGCTTTCCATTACGCACCGGAACACTGGTCCAGGAATATCGCTGCTCAGCTGCAGACCGCATCTTCCCTCACCACCCTCCCACCCACATTCACCTCGTTCGGCGTCTCCGTGCAGAACTGGTGCGCCAAATGCAACCTTTCCTTCCGCATGACCTCTGACCTGGTCTTCCACATGCGCTCCCACCACAAAAAGGAATTCGCTGCTGAGGCCCAGGTGAGAAGGAGGAGGGAGGAGAAGCTCACCTGCCCCATCTGCCACGAGTTCTTCCGAGAGAGACATCACCTGTCCAGACACATGACGTCGCATAACTAGAGCCAAGGAAATATGAACACAAACTCTATTTATTCATAAACAATATTTAATCTGATCCACAAACATGTGCGAATGTACACGCATTTAGAAGAACAGGTACGCAGCGTGTCCACTAGAGGGCGCCAGAGATACGTTTGTGTTGATTTCACTTTCGTCTGAATTTGGCCGTGTACATAAGGTTGGCGATTATTTTGTGCCTTAATGAACTCAGGAGAGCAGAAAGAGAGAGAGGACAGCCCGTGATTGTTATTACAAATCTGGATTCACTTCTCTTGGTTTTCTCTGCTCTGGTTCACAACACGAGGACTGAGTGTGAATTTGTTTTGAAATCTAAAAATCATCAAAATCAAGAAAAAGTGTTGAGTGTTTTTTTCTCCACGCCATCTGCATTACGGCTCATGAGTTTTTCTTTCCCACCAGGAGGCGACCGAGAGCGGCTTTTTAGCCTTTCCCAGGTCCATGCAGCCATTGGTTGTTTAATTGTCAAATCAAACAAGCAGATGCTGACTTATTATCCCGACCAGAATTTGGGTTTAGTTTAATAAATTAATTGACCAACATACATCAATCAATATGTGATCAGTATATATATATATAAAAAAACCAACAACCAGGACTGGGGTAGAAATTGTTTGTTTTGCGTGTGTACTTCTCCGTCGCCGCCCTCCAGGCTGACCAGACTCCACTGGTCCAATGATCAACACTGTTTGGTCAAAGCTGTTACCAATGAAGCTGCTGATTGAGCAGCCTCCCTCAGTGTTACCTGGATGACGCACCACGCAGGGAGAGTGCTGAAGACTTTACCTTATAAAGTGAGTATATTTATATACATTCATCAGTGCTTTTGCCTGTTAAATAGAGATCCAGGTAAATACTAAAAGTGGTGTGACAATTTTGGGTTTTTTTAATTAAAGTCTAAGCCCAGCCTTGTTTGGCTGCTCTGTAAGAAATCCACAGTCACACACACACTGTAATATAATTTGTTTACAGCAGCCATTTCTCTGCTTACTCTCTTCATATCACACACTTTAGAACATAAACAGGTTCATTATGGATAAAAATATAAAATTTTCTTTTGTGGATGATTTGTTCGTGACGGTTCCAAAACATTAAACAAAAGATCGACTGAAACGTGTTCCTGATTTTCTCAAATTAAAATGTTGTTGTGTTTAAATCGTACTTTTTGACTGCTTAAAAATGACGTTTTTCAATATGATTGTGAATGAAAAGAAAAAAACCCCTGAAGCCCATGATTAAATAATAACTTATTAGGAGACACAGTGTCCCATTATTGAGACTCTGTCCATATGTAGAGAGCCATTAGTTCTCAGAGCTGTGCAACCGCGGAAAAGAAGCCAATTCAGCCCAGACAGAAAATCCTCTGTTGTCTAATAATGGCCGTATTGCTCCCCTTTAATTGAACAGTCATCATGTGGAAAAATAAATATTGTTCTTGGTTCCCCGCTCGCCTACTTGTAGCTGCACACAGCTCTGTACGTGCACCTCGTCGGCTGGAACTGACCTTTAGTACTCTCCTGTGACCGTGATTGTAGCTGACACGGGGTTCACTTTGTAAAAGCAAACTGTGGGTCCCAACTGTACGAGGAAATTAAGGGGAAAAAATTAACCTGGATGTGTGCTTTAGGATTGGGTCAGTGTTCTCTAAAGGCTCGAACGTCCATTAAAGTAAAATATGACTCATAAAACCCAGAATTATAGTCATTATCACACTTTAAATCATGT